CAGATCTATGAACATTTTAAGGGATTACCATGCGACTACAACTGTAGTAATTAGTAGTGCAGTAATTAGTGAAAATCCTTGTCTAGATGGTTGTTGAAAGGTTTATTACAATGGCCCTACAGAAAACCTACATCAGGTTTTATTTTTGCTTTGTATATACTGTACAAGTACATTATTTATTGCCTACTTTGGTTTGAATCCCAACCCCCATCAGCTACTATCCTGTCTTAAACCCAGATGATCCCGAAAGAAAGTAATACACCCCTTTTTCTTTTATTTATTCTTCAGTTATTCTCAGCACCAGCGAAAAATGTGCTGTGTATGAGTTTGGTATAGCATTAACTGTGTAGTGTCTCCTGGGGATGGATTTCTAGTGTGTGCTTCGTGTGTGAAGCACAAACTACAGCTTTGGTGTGTTATCTCATTATTGGCTGAGAGTGTTGTTAATATATTTGTGTACTTGTGTGTTTTCCTTAAGTGGCTAATTAGTGTGGCTTGAAGTAACTGTGTAAACATCAGGCCATCAGGTTTAAGATAAGTGTACCGGACTATAATTTAATTTAACTTTAATTTATTAAGGGAAGGAGGGATTTACGGATACTGATCTAACACCTATACAGGACACTGATACCACTGTGCTCCCCTTGAACTGACGATGAAAAACTTTGCTGATGGTACAACAGTAACAAGTTGCCAAGATCACTGTTGGAACATTGGTTATGAAAAGATCTGACCTTAAAGAAAATGTTTGAATTTTTTTGAAAATATGCTTATTCACATTATTGCTGAGTTAGATAAAAAGATAAACATCTGTAGACTAAGGGATAAAGGTCAGCAACCATCTGACTTAGTTTAACTTAATGACTGGAAACACAGAAACAGCTGCCTGGCTCAGTCCAAATGTGACAGGTTTCATCATTGAGCACTTCTGAAACTCACTGATTCTTTTTGTATTTTTTTTTGTTTTAAATTCATAAAAACCCAAGTGTCTAAGTCTGGTACATAACCCTCAGTAATAAAGTGGTTTGCCATTTATACATGCCAGCATTTTTATGTGTTACCATGAGACAAAGCCAGACTAGTGTTTTGTGGATCACATGTTTGTCCCCTTCCCCCATGTGTAAGGGACCTGCAGATCTATGGTAAACCCATGCAAGTGGTTTAAAGTATGTTACCTGATTAGACCAATTGGGCTGTTTGTGATTTAGATATATTTCCACTGTCTGTCTGATTTCCCTTCTCTGTGTGTGACAGTGCTTTTTAAGTGTGTGATTAGAAAGCAGAGCTCAGAATCAGCCACCTTTATGTTTTAAACTGCCAAATATAAAAGCACAAAGCACAACAATGCAGAACTGTTTAGGAGCAGTGATGTGAGGGAGGCCAAAACGAACAGTACAATATGCAGTGTTTCTGCTATAAATATGTGCTGTAGGTACTAACCTCTCCTGCATGAATATTCATAGTCTCTTGACTCTGTGGGCTAAATTTGCACAGATGTTTATTGTGTGACCTTGAAGTCTCAGGAAGAATCTGCTGCTCCATTAGCAAATATTAATATTAACTCAGGTGTTACTGTTCTGAATCTGAATTTGAAACACAGCTGTGCAGTTTTACTGTATGTGCATCACATCAAATACTGCATTTGTCTGTAATGTGAGTGTAAGTTTTATTTTATTTTTATTTTTGGCATGACTACAAAATCAAATGTTAGAAAAAGATGAAGATAGTTTTCAAGAAACTGACACAAATCCTAGACACTGTAAACTGAACATCAAGTATTAGCACAAGGAAAACAGCCCTACATGTATGTGCATATGTGGTTGTGTGTGTGTGAAAGTGTAGCTGAGGTCGAGGGACCGTAGATGAGGTTAGATATGATGGGTTACACCTTACGATTGAGATAACTGATGTCTCACCTATCGCTTCAATCCAAGCTGTCAATCATGATATAACATGTGAAGCATGACATTATTTCTTTGTGTTGATCATGAAGGGGTGCGGTCTAACACCTGATGCCTGCATATTCTCCAGTTTGATGGTCTGTCAGTCATGTCTTCCATCACTATTAAGGAGTGCAGTTATGCCATTCTGTATTCCTATCTAATTTATTTTTCTGCCTGGAGGGTCACTATGTCTACGCAGCACATGCTTTGTTTGTAAGCCCCTGTGCATGTGCATATATAGTGGTGTCCCATGCCTGTGGAAAATGTACTCACGTTAGAGAGGTATTAGCTTACATGACCATAAGCAGTGGAACTACCAAGCTGAAAGGTAGTAGGCCAGAAGGGATGTACTATTGTGGCCCAGCAGTACATACATTATTCATCAGCTTTATTCGCATGGCTGGTGATGATAATTTTATCAAATCTAGCAAGGTGGGGGTGTTGGAGGTTTGGGGATATGGGCGTCCTGACTGTGTAGTCTTTATGTGCATATCTTTTGTGGTCTCTTTTCTAATACAGTGTGTTTATGAATTTTAATATGATAATGTTTATCAACAGTAATGACAGGAGGAATGAAATGGGAAACCAATATGTCTCATCCTTTTGGCTCTAAACTGTTATTCTCACGTCCCCACCCACACAAACACACTGTGATAACATCTGATGCGGATTAAAATGTGGTCTATTGTGCTGAAAGGCCAGCTCAGGTGTACAGGAAGATGGAAGAACCAAACTGGCTACAGTTAGAGCGCTGCTATTGAATAGTCTGTTTACTCAACAGAAAATGACTTTTGAATGGATTTTGACATTCATTTACTTCTTGCTGTTTTAGCTGCTGATTGCACAGCCAACAACAACCAATGTTGATATTACAAGAGCAGCATACCAAATGATGAGTGTAGACAAAGCAAAACAAACAAACAAAAAGATGCCCCAGACATCCTGATGTTTCTCCAGCCCTCTCGTCTTACACAACATCTGCCACCTGCTGTTGTTACTCGTGCATCCTCTGTATCCTGCTTGTCCCAACAAGCCGCTACAGCCATCACTCTGTGTTGTCTTTAACACTACTAACCAATTCTTCACCACCCCTTGAATAATTGCATTATAGTTCAATAATGCTGTATTTGGGTATGGCTGTGGGAACTGGTGGTCTGAGTCGCTGTTCATTCTTTTGGATTGGCTATTTCCTGTTTCAGCTGGCTCTCAGAAGGACACAACCTTCTCCAGCTATATTAGATAACACAGAGAAGACAGAAAAGAAAGGAGAACGAGATGTGATGAGTAGACAGCCACTAGGGGAATGTCAGACAGTGGGCATATGTGCTCTACATGAAAGAGATGTAAAACACAAGAAGCAGTGCAGTTGTTGGAGTTGTGCTGAAATGTCATCCCATGCTTGGGGTTGAAAAGCTGTAAATGTGTGCGTGTTGTGCATGCGCCAGTGTGCATGTATGTTAGCAATTTTGTGCTTATGGCTGTCTTTTCTCTCATCCCCGTGGAGGCTGTGTCAGGTACATTAGTTGGGTAGATCTGTTACCTTCCCTGCTCTTTGTTTCAGCATGTTTGCCTAAACATTCAGGTCTCCTCAACTCCACAGTGCAGCAGGGATCATCAGGCTATTATGTAATCATCCCTGTTGTTCTCATAAATTACCATGCCCTCAACATCAAGATAAACATTTAGGTAAATGATCAGATGATTCTGAGAAATGTGGGAATTGTTTTGTAGGATGATAAAGGCATACACTAATTTAGAACCAGCCCAGGAGTCAGGTGAGAGAAAGACTTAGTTGTTGCCAGTTTAACACATTTCAATAAATTATAGGACAATATGACTGTGCCAGTCTTGTGATATGCACACATACTTGCTTATGCTGGTCACGAAGGCAGATAGCTATGGTAGTGACAATATGAATCTGTGAATTTAGACATGCTTTTGGCACATTTTGTCAAAAGAAAATGTGACAAACCTAACCTGGGAACAGTGAAGTAGTGAATTATGCTGCAAGAGTGGTTTGACTAGAGTTTGTGGACTACAGCAGCTGTCAGTGAAAGAGTGGACTACCTCTCAGAGCTGCATTTCAAGCCTACAGGCCCTGTTACTAAAAGTGTGTGTGTGGGGGGGGACAACAACCACTCATGGGTTCAGTCTTTTAACACTTCTGTTACAAAAAAGTCTGTTGGGTTTTAACAGTGAAGACTTATAAAGTACAAGAAGGATGGGGTGGAAAAAACAAGATGAGTGAAGCAGCTGAAGAACGCGAGCTACAGCAGCACTTGTGGAAGGTTTCCAAGAAATAAATAGATTCTACTTGTACTCTACTGCTCATCTTTTTCACCTTTCTACTAAAAGCACATCTTTATTCTGGTGTATTCATTCTTACAAATGATACATTTAGCTGGTATTTCCTATCTGCTGTATAACTCTTTGATTGTGTTGGCTTGTAGGAATATATATATATATATATATATATCTTGCAGGCAGGTATGCTTGTAATCACCTTTATTTGGCTAAGTATGTTACACACAAGGAATTTGGTTCCGGTAGAGAACTGAGGTAGCCATCTGCTGCGCCATCTCACACCGATGGCTCTAACCATTGGGGGTAACTTGGGGGTTCAGTGTCTTGCCCAAGGACACTTTGACATGTGGACTTGAGGCACCGTGATTTGAACTTGCAACCCTCTGGTTGGGAGACGACTGCTCTACCCACTGAACCCCAGTCGTCCCGTGTTTGACTTTCTATCCTTATACTGTATGATTGTGCATGCCTGTGCTTGTCTACTGTATCTGTGTCTTTGTTTTTGTGTGAACCAGCAATTAAAAAATGGACTAGGACATTTAAAGGCTCTGAGGCACAGACCCAGCACACATGCTGGCAGTCAACTGCCAAGCCGGGGGAGGTGAAATTGGAGAGACAGGGAATGGAGAAAAGGAGGAGGGCCCTGTGAGTGCCTGTGAGAGAGAACGGGAAAACCAGGGAAAAGAGGGCGGGCTCAGACTCAGGCAGCGTGTACACACCCTCTCCTCAGCCTTCAGTCTGGTCTAGGCATGAACAGAGGCAGCATGTGTGAGTGTGTGCTCTATGTGTGTGTACAGAGTGAAAGCTGCGCTGGAGTCAAGACATCTCACTGATGCAAGGATTCCCCTGTTTGCTCTTAGAGAGGACGTGTGCTGACTGTTTTAACCACCACAGGAAATTAACTGCTACACACAGAGGAAACTCTGGGAGCTTAAGTGAAGGTAAAGAGATACATTTCTTGTTTTGAGGATATGTTTGGAGCTCTGTGAGTGGCAGAGAGGGAGAGACAGAGCTGATTTCATGTCGTGTTTAGATGATCTGTGGACCATGTGGATGAATGTTAATGTTTTAGAAACACTAAAGGTTATGAAGTTATGATGAAAAGTCCAAATTTGTGCATCTGGTTACTTCTAGGAGTACAAGCTTTTTGTTGTTCATGGTCTACAGTAAGTGTGTTTGTATAACTATCTTGTAGGATGGCACACTTTATTACCAAATGTGTCTCCTTGTGAATCTTCTCTCCTTTGCTGGTACAGTAATCTGCCATTTGGTAGTGGCTCTTCTTTGGTCTCTCCTGCTGTCTCTCTCCCACTCTCTCTCTCCCACACATGCACATACAGTCATATATAAATACACAAAGCGCAAAAAAGCTTTGTACACATATCATGCAGATAGCCACCCTGCATAGTTTTATCAATCATTAACAATCTCACTGCCTAGTTTCCTACTAGCGGTAATTTCATGATAACAGAATACCCTAGCAGCCCTGTGGACTTGCAAATGCTGGGATGCATGCTGTGGCAGTGTGTTTGATCGTGTGCTTTAAGAAGTGTTACTTTAGTTAAAGTGGGATTACTCTCTGGATCAAAAACCCCTGGTCCTTATAGTGATTATGACTTATCAAATGTTTGCTTGTGACAGGTGTTAGAGAATTGGAAAAGCACAGATCAGTCCTCAAAATTTGTGGTTATGCCATTGAAGATGCACAGTATCAAATAAAGAAAGAAGGATTATATATTGATCTAATAGACTTTAGTCTATCTATATTCATTCCATTCTTCTGGACAGAGAGCTCTGATGTTATTTCTGTTGGAGCCACTCTCCCAGTTTAGGAGTCACAGTTGGCCAGTACCTTCCTGTCTGTCTGGATCTGAATGTCCCACAGGATCTTAGCCCTGTTGTTCGCCACGACCTTCTGAGGAGTCTCCCATCTGGACTTTGGCTTAGCCCATAGTCAGCACAGATGTTTCTGTACACAATGCCAGCCACTTGGCTGTGCCGTTCAGTGTGTGCTGTTGCTGCCTGCATTTTTCACCCTGCCACTTTGTGTTGTACTATCTCTGAGGCCTCCTCATGCAGTATGCACCTGGGATCCTGCCTGGTTTGCTCAACCCCTGCTTCGATTCATCTGGTAGTTAATTCCTGTTCTTGTGTTGCTATGATCAGTGCCTCGGTGTTGTATGATAGGCCTCTTCCAGCCACTGGTAGGATTTCCCAGTTTGAGCCACCTCAGTTACCATAGCTGTCAGTGGTATATCCCATGCAGGGCCTTATCCTGCCATGGCACTTCCTCTGGTTGGTCTTCGGTCCCTGCCTGTTGCCAGCCACTTGGCTGTGCCGTTCAGTGTGTGCTGTTGCTGCCTGCATTTTTCACCCTGCCACTTTGTGTTGTACTATCTCTGAGGCCTCCTCATGCAGTATGCACCTGGGATCCTGCCTGGTTTGCTCAACCCCTGCTTCGATTCATCTGGTAGTTAATTCCTGTTCTTGTGTTGCTATGATCAGTGCCTCGGTGTTGTATGATAGGCCTCTTCCAGCCACTGGTAGGATTTCCCAGTTTGAGCCACCTCAGTTACCATAGCTGTCAGTGGTATATCCCATGCAGGGCCTTATCCTGCCATGGCACTTCCTCTGGTTGGTCTTCGGTCCCTGCCTGTTGCTGTCTCAGATATTCTCTCAGCAGCTCATCTCTGGGCACCATTTTGCTGATGTACTCCTGGATGCTCTGGGTTTCAGATACTCACCAGGCCCCATCCACCCTCTTTCTGGCTGGTGTACAATCTCTGGGTGTTGGACTTCTGGTGGAAGCCTCTGAGCCTCCATGCCGTCCGTTGGCCAGCTCACTATGCCAGCAGGGTATCTGATGACTGGCAGGGTGTATGTGTTGATGGCTTGGATCTTGTTCCTCTCATTGAACTGGCTTTTCAGGACCCGTCTTATCCTTTGATGGAACTTAGATATTGCTGTCTTTCTTACCTCCTCATTATGGTTTCCATGTGAGTGTGGGATACCAAAGTAATTGTAGGTGGTCTGTATGTCTGCTATGTGGCCCCCTGGATGTGTATGTGATTTGATGCATGTGGATATACATGAGTTAAATGATTTATAAAAAAAAAAAAAAAAAAGAACACTACACCGAGTATATTAGAGGTTTTTTTCCCTATTTGACCTACATATTTAGGGTAACTTCAAGAAAAAGACAAAGCTGTATTGCTGTATTGTGCGGAAATATAGAGGAGAAGAGAAGACAGCCAAAGAGCAGGTCAAGGAGCACAAGGTCTCTGGTGTCCTTTCTTTTCCTGTTACGGTTTAGTCCCCCTCACCAGGAGGGTGAGAGAGAACTGGGGTTGGACTCAAGATGGCTGACCCAGGTGCTAGTACAAAAATGGTGGTTTAATGGAATAAAAACAACAAAATGACAACAAAACAGGGTCCATAATACATACAATGCAATCCACAGCACAGGGACTGTCAGCGTGGAAGAGCACGTATTTCTGTGTTGCTAACCGCATAATTACGTGATAAGGTCAAGCCAAAACGCACAGAGACTGTCAGCGTAGCATCTTACACGCGTCTAAAAATATGCGGGTCAAACACAACATTTGTCACTTACATAGGGTAAGTATTGTCCATTATATATCGCAATGGTCTGGCCACGATGGGGTGTCTGCCAGAGGTATAAATAAGGAAGCCAACAAATCACCGGAATACGCCTCAGGTGTGCGCACCGACCCACGAGTCACTAATTACCCGATGCGACACAGCTGAAGCGTTGATCCCGCAAAAAGGGAGAGAGGAGAGGGAAAAGAAAGAGAGGCAGGTCGGGCCGAGCGGACCTGACACTTCCCTCACATTCATGATTTCTTATTGAGAGAGATGCAGTTTGGACTATTAAGAAAAGAAAGTAGAGATTGTATAATAAATCATTTGTATTTTGCGGGTTATCTTCAAGAGTGTGTTAAAAGTCCAGTAAGTCAGTGGGTGGTAATTTTCTGATATAACTCGTAGCCACTAGTGGGACTAGCGGAACTAGATAAGTAGGGATAATGGTTGGTCTGCTGAGCTATATAGCATTTTAATGAAACTGCCTATCAAGCCAGTGGGGTTGGCCATGCCAGCTTAGCTTAAGCAGATATGATGTAGATGTAAGGCTTGGTCAAGCTGCTGAGTATTTACTCTTTACTCGGGTGAGGGTCACAGTTAAAAGCAGCTTAGTATATGAGGTCAGTTTAAAGGTGCTGTTGGTTAGGACTAGAGAATGACGTCATCTGACACGGGCCCAGCAGATTTATGATGGCGCGGCCTGATAGCCAGTGATCAAAATATCATTTAATATGAATACTGAGCATCAATGCTCACCCACATTTTGGCACATTTATAGTATTGGCAACTAACTTTACAGCTCATCATAGCATTTACAGTGTATGACTTAATAATAGTCCATCTTTTTGCCTGCATTACAAAAAGAAAAAGTTGATACTTGTGATTTACTCCAGTAAAATAACTTTTACAACACCCTGATAAGGTCTAAAAATAAGTTAATAAAAAGTCATGACACATTTTTGATGACATAATAAATGCTACCCATTCTTGTTGTCAGACTTTAGAACGATGCCCATTCTCTTCTATTTTCAAGCTTCCTCTTTCTTGTTGTCTTTCCTTCACGTTATATTTCCTTGTAAAATCCAATGCTTCACTTGCCGCCACAAGGAAGTTGAATATTAGCAGGGAGTTTTGAGGAAGTGATCCATGAAAGGATTTATAGTGGCAGATAAAAACATGTGCGTGTGTGTCTACGTGTGCACACTTCTTTCAAAATTTTCAAAGACTTTATAGAAGCCCAGGGCTGTGGAGAAAGCTATTATCTCATACATTGTGAGACACTGCTCATCCAAGTTTATGTGTGTCTGATTACTACATGCACATGTGTGTTTTCAGGACAAATATGCGAGTGTGGATCCACACAACCATGTGCGCTGTCTGCGAACAGTAACCTAATATAGTATGTGAGTGCAGTGGGGGGATGGGGCTCTGTTAAGTGAGCTCTGTGGGTGTGTGTGTTTGTGTAAGAATGTGTATATACCGACCTAGATTGATACTCTGCTGTCATGCTAAGTCAGCTCACCTATGGTACAGATATATGTAGGTAGACCCATCCCTTTCCTTTTGAACACACACCTAGTCTCACATAAATACTGTACACACCCAAGCACTTGTTTTTTGTTGTTTTGTTTTAGTTTTTTATAGGAGGTCATTAAAATCCTTAAATTCATGGTCCTAACCATACCCATGGCCACTACATAACTAACCCCTATTCTTATCTTAACCAAAAACCAAAATTTAAACCAGAAGTTTTATAGGTTACCAAAATTGGATGTGAGCTATCCTAATGTAAACAGACTATTGTCAATAGAATATAATTAATGCAAGTACATTCATATACAGGACACAGTAAACACAGTGAATACACTGGGAGATACTCTGCAACGTCAGTGCAAGTCCTGATCTGATCTGTAAAGCTCATAAGAAGTTCTGTGCATTAAATAATACATTATACATGTAGAAATAATAATAATAATAAGCAGCAACAGAAACAGCATGTAACTCAAGCTTACTGCAGATGCTCACATCTTTATTCACTACAGTGAATAAGACTCTTCTGACCTTGTGGCAGAGCAGACGACCACCCTCTCTTTGTGATTCCAGTTACAGTACATAAGATGCAGTTTGATGATAAAGTGGTTGGTGTGATAACGGGATGATGCAATTAACATGAAAGGGATGATCTCTCTCTCTCTCTCTCTTTCTTTTATCCTTGTCCCCCAGACTTTCTCATTTTCTAACCATTGCTTTGCTAACCCCTCATCCCTCACTGAAAAAAGGGAAACACCGGGTCTTTGGATTTACACAAATTATGCTAGTATATGCAATGCAATTCATT